ACAACCTGCTGTTGTGAGCTTTGACAAAACTCATACATATTTGAGCTACGTTCCTTTATCTTTGCCAATTCACTTTCTCTGTTCCAAATCCAATGTCTGGCTTCCCTCTCCTCTGTCTGTGTGTGTGTGTGTGTGTGTGTGTGTGTGTGTGTGTTGTATTATAATTTTAGTTATAGTTTTTTTCTTTACCATCCATAGGTGCTTGGTGGACAAAGAATTGTCTGGGTCAATATATTTTACACACAGTAATAATAATAGTAATATAGTTTAGCTATACATAAAAATAGTCATAATCTTTCAATTTATAACATTTGTGTATACTTAGTGGTTATAATGTATTCTATTCTATTTCAGCATATATAATGCTATTTTTCCAATTCCTAACTTCTACCTCTTTTTTCTAACTTTTAGTAGAATAGTCACCCTATTCGGAAGTATTCTACATCTATCCATCTCTTGCCTTTTTTAGAATTTCACCTCTTATTGGCTTTTTGGTAAGTCTTTCATGCTTCTCCCTCAGGATCTTGTAACTCCTTACATCAGATTTATTTGATATTAGTATTTCATCTGTTGCTCTGACATAGGCTTCCCAAAAGCACAAAGCCAATTCCTCATCCCAATAAACCCCTTTTATTTAGGTTAAAGGGAATTCCCCTCTAGCAAAGTGGCGGTCAACAGTCTTTCAAGAGATTTCACAACTACAGACCTTTATCAGGCTTGGAGAGCTGCCAGGCCAATATGTTCCAAACACCACGCTGCTGCAGCAGCAATTACTTGCCAAGAAGTTGGAAACAGATCTTCACTCTAATGAATTGAACTAATTGTCTCCTGCAAGCCCCACTCCTCTTTATTCCCTATGGGAGGGGCCATTCATCGTCCACCTGTGCCTTTACTCCCAAGTCGACCCTTTTTCCTTAGCTGTTCCCTTCTCCTGGCAGCTCTGCGCATGCGCACACTGGGAACAGGCTCAAACTGTTCTTCTGTCCCCCTGATATCCGACTCTGAAGACAGATGATAACTGTCGGACGGCCCTGACCACATCTCTGCCTGTGACGCAGAGCCCTCATCAGAGCCTTTCCTAGACTCCATGACTGGCCCATGTTCCTCCCCAACCTCCTCACTGTCTGAGTCTGCCACCAGCTCCGCTGTCGTGCCACAACACTTATCTCTTGTTATTGGTTCTCTAGAGTCCCCATCCTGGCTTCCCTCTTCTTGTAACTCTCCTTGTTGTCCACTCCCAAAACAGGCAAACGTCGAAGACAGAAAACATCATTTTACTGGGAGGAACCGGGAATGCCTCTGCTCACGCACCTTAGCAAAGCTTCTCAATTTCGTATGATCAAGTGGCATTTGCAGCCGCCCACACATATACGGCCCCCTGTTTTTTGAAGGATGAATACCTGGCTTTGTAGAGAAGGAACAAATGTGTCATGGGTCCCTTCCCACCGTAGATTCTGAGAAAGGAATCAAGACTAATATGAAAGGGGCTCCATGCTGCCCCATACAAAAGATGCTAATTCCAAGCAACGCCCAAGTTTTGCAAATGCCAGGTTTTTACAGCAGATCCCCTGTAATATTTTGGATGGGTTTCCTGGTAGCACATTGCATATCATATTTTTTTCTAAGCAGAACTTCCAACAATCATCTCAGCAGCATTTATGCCACCTTCCTCCTCATCTCTTCAGATCAGCACAATTTCCTCCACCTTTTCCCAACGGTTTCTTTTCAAATATGTCTACACTCACTGAAGTAGTGCAGAGGCAGACAAGATGTGGGATCACCAACAGGGCACCTTTGTGAAAACCTACATTTTTCTTGAAAGTTAAGAATTCCAGCTTTTAACTCCCTGTCTCCCCCACAAAAAAAATCCAGATATCACAATTAATGCCACCACTGAAAGTACTGCCTAGAGGAGAATTTGAAGCAAAATTTCAGCATTCTTTTTCAAGAACCACCATGGGAGAATTTTAAAAGAAAGGCATGACTCATGCAGAGACTGACATGGAATTTTTGTCTCAAGTAAAATTAAAATTTAATTTGGTACTTCCTCCAGTAAAGCATTTAAGTGATTTTAACAAAGCAAAAAAGAGCTTTGTAAAAAAAAAAACCAACTGTTCTCAGGAGGCTTTTCAATACCTGCTTTTTAATATACAGCATGTTTGAAAATAAGCAAAGGGGCAGACTAAACCCATCTTCTTTGAAGATGGATCTGCCCCCTCCCCCGCACCCACCCCAAAATTCAGTGCAATCCCTATTCTGGGCTTTCAAGGGAAATCCTCTTCTTCAGTCAAGTAAATAAAAAAAAGGAGAAAGATTTCCATCCTAAAGGAATGTTCATGGATTGCATCCAAACATTATGAAATGTGATGTTTCAACTATGTTACAACAGGAACCTATCAAAATATTAAAATCTAAGCAGTCAAGTAAGATGACTACGCAGTCAACTGGACTTTTTCAGAACTGAAAAAAGCTTCTTGGATAAGAAACCAGCTCAAGGAAAAAAACAAGAAAGTCCAGTTGTTTTTTGAAAAGCACCTTTGGGACAACCTGGATGATTTGAGAATTTCATAGACAATCAAGCAAGATACACATTTTGAAAAATTAAATAAATAAGGCAATTGTTGTGAGTCTTTTCAGATTTGTCTCCACTACCTTTTTAATAAACTCTGAGGTCATCCTGACTCCTTCAGTAATTTTAACTGACGTATCTGCCAGTTTATAATGAGACAATCTGTGAATATTAGCACGTTACATAGATTTTTTAAAAAAATCCTTTGGAAAGCTAATGACAATGAAGATATGAAGTAATAGATAGCTTTTTCCTTTTAGGATTGATGGCACACATCACTATTTGGAATTCAGATAGAATTCCTGAACCTATAAAGATTAGAATCAGGCAGACTGTGGTTTTCCCTATGAGCTTTATGGGTGTGAGAATTGGACTCTGAAGAAGGAATAAGAGAATGGATGCTTTTGAACTCTCAAAAGTATACCTTGGATAGCCAAGAAAGCAACCAAATGATTCACAGATTAATCCAGATTATTATACTTTGGGGGGGGGGGGAATAAAGAAAGAAGACACCAGCAGCAAGGTGGAGAGACACAATTAGAACAGCAACAGGGAAGACAGATTAACAGAGTTGGAAGGGACCTTATAGATCATCTAGTCCAATACCACCACCCCCGCTCAAGCAGGGGACCCTACACGATTTCTGACAAATGGCAGTCCAATCCTTTCTTGAAAGTCTCAAGTGATGAAGCTCCCGCAACTTCCGAAGGCAACTTCTGTTCCACTGGTTGTTATCTTTGTCAGAAAGTTCCTCCTTATTTCTAAGTTGAATCTCTCCTTGTTCAATTTCCATCCATTATTCCTTACAGAAACACAGTGGTACTTCGATACTTGACTGCTTCAAAACTCCACAAATTTGGTATGCATTTTGATGTCAAAATGTTGTCCCAGTACTCGGCCTTTGTTTGTCACTCAATGCCCTGCTACAGGAAGACTGGGGACAGCTGTGGGGAATGGACAGGAAGTCGCCCATGCTGGGAAGGACACTGAATAGGAAAAGGGACCGCCAGAAAGTTCTTCCTGGCCAAAACAAAGAGTTACATGGTAAGTCATGTGTTTTGTTTGGGACTTGTCCTTTTTAGTACCCGTTGCACCACCCAGAATCAATTAATGCTGAGTATTGAGGTACCACTGTAATATACTTTTTAGAGAAGAACAATTTCATCTACTAATCCCAGGATGGTGAACCTATAGCACGCATGCTACAGGTAGCACGCAGAGCCATTTGTTAGCTGAGTTCACCCTTTTTTAAAGCCATTTTTCGCCCTCCCCAGGCTCCAGAGGCTTTATAAGAGCCTGGGGAGGGCAAAAAGAGCCCGCCCCAGAGGCCCTCTGGAGGCTTCATGAGCTTCCCTGAAGCCTCCGGAGCGCAAAGGAACGTTCCTATGGGCAAACCGAAAGTTCGGGAACGGACTTCCGGTTTGCTCGGAGAGTCGTTTAAGTGCTCCAGAGGCTTCAGCGAAGTCTCCTGAAGGTCCCTGAAGCTTCCGGAGCACTCAAAACAACCCCCGAGTCGGTTTGCTCATAGAGTCTTTTTTTGCCCTCCAGATGCTTTAGGGAAGCCTCCTGAAGGTCCCTGAAGCCTCCAGAGGGCCTCCGGGGGGAAGGCTTTTTTCACCCTCCCCAGGCTCCTATAAAGCCTCTGGAATCTGGGGACGGCGAAAAAAGGATGCAAAAAATGTCGTCACATGCCATAAGCACGCCAGTATGCCCACGCGCCCGCAACAGCATGCCCGCACCCATGCTATGCACATGCCCCTCCCGCATGTGCCCCTCCCTCTGCTTGCGCCTATGACCCGTCCGTGCTCCCATCCCCCGCGCATGCTCCCCGCCCCCCTTGCTCATTTTTTGCTTCCAGGTTGGTGCAGGAGGCTTTCCAGGTCCAAAACAGGGCGCAGGGGTACCACATAAGGCCCCAAATTGCAATGCAAGCGCCCCTATGGATGCATTTCCACCCCCCATTCATGTGCACGTGCATCCCCTGTATGTGCACCGGTCCCTGCACATGCACAGCAGAAACCCAAAGAAGTGCTCCTGAGGGCTGGGGGGGGGGAATGATTAAAAAACAGCCTGTTTTTCATAAAAACGAGCCCGTTTTTCCCCCCAAAAAAGGGCACGCGTAACCTTTAGGAGGCTTGTAGAGTGCTACTGGGAGCTGGGGGAAAAACGAGCAAAAAAACAGCCCATTTTTCGCTCGTTTTTGTCCTCCCCGGCCCTCCCAGGAGCAGTTTACAGGCCTCCCAAACCCTCTGCACGTCCATTTTTGTGAAGGGGGTGGNCAAGTGTTCATTGCACGTGAGGACCCTGATTTAGTGCAATATAAAAAATGCAAATAATTTTCCTGAGGACCACCAAAATTTTCTCACAGACCACCAGTGGTCCACAGATCACCTGTTGGTGGCCACTGGTCTAAAGTACCTTTAGGTAGATAAAGTAATGAAGCACAGGTGTGAAAAACAGGACAGAGTACCAAATGCAAGGGGTCCTCTACCATAGGGGTCTCCAACTTTGGGAATTTTAAGACTTGGGGACTTCAACTCCCAGAATTCCTCAGCCAGCTTCTGGGAGTTGAAGTCCACAAGTCTTAAAGTTGCCAAGGTTGGAGAGCCCTGCTCTACTCCATCTTGTCCACAAATGACTGTTGTTTTGTGCTAATTATATTTCTTCAAATTGGCCACTCTTTGTATTTTTTTAAGAGCCCACAAAAGGAGACCCTTGAACTGTTAAATAAAACATTTAGAATCGTTTTGCATAACCTGCATCCAACATTAGTCTTAAAATGTCACATGGAATTGGAACAGGGAAAGGTATGTCAGTTAAATGCTAAATACTTTATATAAAGGTAAAAATTCCCCTTGCACAAGCAGTATGTGTTAGTCATTACTGACTCTAGGGGGTGGTGTTCATCTCCATTTTTTAAAGCCAAAGAGCCAGCGCTGTCCGAAGATGTCTCCGTGGCCATGTGGCTGGCATTACTAAATGCTGAATGCGAATGGAACGCTGTTGCCTTCCCACCAAAGGTGGTCCCTATTTTTCTACTAGCATTTTTACGTGCTTTCAAACAGCTCGGTTGGCAGAAGCTGGGACAAGTAATGGGAGCTCACTCACACGGCACTAGGGATTCGAACCACCGAACTGCCGACCTTTCTGACCAACAAGCTCAGCATCTTAATCACCGAGCCACTGCGTCCCTGGTAGATATATATTAGGGACAATATTTCCCAATGGTGACTCAATTCACTTAATTATGTTGGTGAATCTTTACAGGTAATTCTCAATTTACAATAGTTCATTTAGTGAATGTTCAAAGTTACGACCATTGTGCATACTCATGCTGTTGATTGGCATCCCCAATCATGGGATCCAAATTCACATGCTCGGCCACTGATTCATTTATGACCGTTGTAGTGCCTTGGGGCCATGTGAACCCCTCTTATGATCTTCTGACAAGCAAAGTCAACGGGGAAATTAGTTTCGCTTAACAAGCAGATTACTAACCTAACAACTGCAGGGATTCACTTAGCAAGTGTTGCAAGAAAGGTTGTAAATGGGTCAAAATTCACTTAACAAATGTTTCACTTAGCAACAGAAATTTTGGGCTCAATTGTGGTCATAAGGTCTATGTGTATTGTTATTTTGTTTGTTCCAATGAATGAACGAATGAATATAAATGTATGTACCTGAAGGCAAAGGGAATATATAAAATAAAAATAACCAACGAAAGAGCCCAAATCATAGGAAATATGGGTTATTGGTCAGTGACTACCAACTTTTGAAAAAAATATACCACCGTATTAAA